GCATTATAGTAAGTTATAAATATTCTGAATATTTTGTTATAATCTGCATTACAGTAAGTTATAAACATTCTGAATATTTTGTTATAATCTGCATTACAGTAAGTTATAAACATTCTGAATATTTTGTTATAATATGCATTATAGTAAGTTATAAACATTTTGAATATTTTGTTATAATCTGCACTAAGTAAGTTATGAACATTCTCAATATTTTGTTATAATCTGCATTATAGTAAGTTATAAACATTTTGAATATTTTGTTATAATCTGCACTAAGTAAGTTATGAACATTTGCCTATATTTTGTTTCAATCACGCATATTATAAAACAATTTCTTCATTTTCCACGACCTTTTCAAACATGGAAAAATATATTCAACGTTTTCCCATCAATGTGGGAGCCTATATAAAGTGAATCTAATTAAATTCAAAATTCATATTAAATTGTAATTAAAGCAAGCTATCAACATAGATCAAAACTAAAAATATACCCAGTAATGAGCATACATATTTAGATACATTGTTCAAACTACCTTACTTGTAAAGATTAGATTGCATTGTTTTATTCATTGTGTAATTTTGCTGTTAACATTATTTGTGGCCATAAACTTAATAATATCTCTCATAACTCTGCCAACCCAAGAGATTAAATTTAGTCCCAAATCTATATAAAAAGCTAACACTGCAGAATAGTAATTATAATAAAATTTAAACAGAATTAGAAATAATAAAATTAGTAAATAAAAGTATATATATATATTAAATATTCTAACCAACACTGTGTATCCAAGTAAAAATTACCAGACAGTGGTACAAGTTTCACTTATTAGGCTGATGTTTATTAATCAAGTATATACGATACCTGATAAATACCAGGTTCATTAACAGAATAAACATTTAATAAAACAGTTCATTAATCAAGTATATACAATACCTGATAAATACTAGGGTATTTTACATCCTAAACATTAAATAAAACAGTTCTGTAATCAAGTATATATATGAGGCCTGATAAATACCAGGTTCATTAACAGAATAAACATTTAATAAAACAGTTAATTAATCAAGTATATATATGAGACCTGATAAATACCAGGTTCATTAACAGAATAAACATTTAATAAAACAGTTAATTAATCAAGTATATACAATACCTAATAAATACTAGGTTATTTTACAGACTAAACATTTAATGAAACTGTTCAATAATCAAATATATATATATATATATATGAGACTTGATAAATACTATGTTATTTTACAGCCTAAACATTTAATAAAACAGTTCATTAATCAAGTATTTATGAGATCTGATAAACACTAGGTTATTTTCATACACAGTTTCAATTAAATGCAAGATAACTTTAAAATACATGAATAAAACTTTTGTTAACTGTTTGCTTTGTGTATTATAAAGTGGTCCTACTTGGTTTTGACAGCGTTCTTTTCAAGGATAATATCAAAGTCTTCATTCAGTATTTTCTATTGAAGTGGGGAAACTTTATGTGAGAGAAGAGCCTTACAATGAGCACTCCCAACAAGTGTGTAGAATGACCTCACTGTAAAATACACATGCAACAGTTATCTGAACATTATATAATAGCACCTTAATTAAAACCTTTCACATATCTAAATACATATAGAAGTAAATAACATCAAATCTGTAGGCCTAAATATTATGACAAATGCATAAACATCATAAGTGGTAACACAAGTGGTGTATTGAGACACTCACAATTTTGCCAGACAAGTATTACAGTTTAACTGTTTCCTTACAGCTATGATTTACAGAAGTGTACAGAAATAATCACCAATTAACAGACAAGTTCTCTGGACAAGTATTACAGTTTAATTCTTTCTTACTTTACAACTACTAACTGACAGCTGATGATTTACAGAAGTTTATTGAAAAAATTATTTAGTGTCTGGTCAAGCTCTAAAGAATACCTTGATGACAAGATACAGGGAGTTGTAAAATTATGTCAATAAATTTAAGCTACCAATGGACTCGTATATACTCAAAACACTAGAAATACATCTCTGTTCATCAGACTAAACACTGAACTGGTATAAATACTAGAAATACATCTGTTCCTCAGACTAAACAATGGACTGATATAAACACAAAACACCAAAAATACATCTGTGTTCTTCAGACTAAAGAATGAACTGATATAAACACAAAACACCAGAAATACATCTCTGTTTTTCAGACTAAACAATGGACTGATATAAAACAAAACATCAGAATACATCTCTGTTCTTCAGACTAAAAAATGGACTGATATAAAACAAAACATCAGAATACATCTCTGTTCTTCAGACTAAAGAATGAACTGATATAAACACAAAACATGGGAATACATCTCTGTTCTTCAGACTAAACAATGGAGTGATATAAGCACAAAACATCAGAATACATCTCTGTTCTTTAGACTAAAGAATGAACTGATATAAACACAAAACACCAGAAATACATCTCTGTTTGTCAACTTAGAGAGTGGACTGATATAAACACAAAACATTAGATAAATACCTCTCTGTTAGTCAATTGTAATTGATAAGCTAACCAACAACAACAAAACACACCAAATCTTACTACTGTCACAGTTTCTAGCTTATACAAACCAAATCTCACTACTGTCACAGTTTCTAACTTATACACACCAAATCTTATCACTGTCATAGTTTGTAACATACATACCAAATCTTATCACTGTCATAGTTTGTAACATACACACCAAATCTTATGACAGTCATAGTTTGTAACATATACACACCAAATCTTATCACTGTCATAGTTTGTAACATACACACCTGAAGCAATTGAATATTTTTGAGGGAATTTTGCAATTGCTTCAAAACATTTAATAGTTGAAAAGTGTTAAGAATAAAGTTATAACAATTTTCTGAGTTTTAAGTGAATATGTACATGGAGAAATGGCGTAAGTAAAGACGCCTGTATTGCGAAATAAGGCCGAGAACTAAAGAGTTTTCAACTAGCTAGTTTAGTGGCATTGAGAATTATGTAAAGATATTGCCTAGCACTGAAGTAAGTGTACAAGAACCCGTGACAAGTTGATGTATTACTGACGCTAACTCGTTAGCACTAAGAAAGCTACGAAAAAGTCAATGTTAAGAAGCAAAAGCGGTAATTTGATTCCATATCCCTTATAAGACACTGGTGTATTAGTACAAGTGGAAAGACAATAAGCTAACTCACCATAACAATAACCAATCACTTGATAGTTTTGGTTTTGGTTCTGGATTAGCTGGGAATTTGCACAGATTGACCAATAAAGTGGTAGAACTACTTGCGGATACTATTTGGAAGGTCGAGAGAATACCGAGAAAATATGGTTTAAAAATCCCTGTCTGAAACCGAAAAATCAGTTCTCTTCCGAGTTCGTGAAGTGTTACCAAATACTCAAGCTCTATCGTTTGTGATCATGACTACGGAAGTCCCAAATGTCTGCAAGCTTACCAATCCAGCTCTTTTGTAAGTATAAAATTATGGTTTCTCTTAATCTGTTAATGTAAGTAATCTTAAAGGGATATTCATGTTCTATTAAAAAAGTATACTTATGTGTATTAATGGATAATATAGATTAACAGTAGTTGAAAAGTGTATAACGATTACAGACTTTTGATTTATATTGGATGTTATTGGAAATGTTTAATAAATTTTATTATAATTTAATCAATGTTGGTCTGGAACTCTGATTCTTTATTGTAACCGTAAATTACCTCAAGTTAGCGACTTGTGAGCTCCAATTGCCACTGCAAATCCTCCACTAAATAAATTTGGTGTGACTGACAGTATAAATGAAACTCCAACAATTAAGCCCACAAGGGCACTGTCCATTACACACCATATCTTATTACTGTCACAGTTTGTAACATATAAATACCACATCTTATAACTGTCACAGTTTGTAACATATACACACTATATCTTATTACTGTCATAGTTTGTAACATACACACACCAAATATTATTACTTTCATAGTTTTTAACATATACACTAAATCTTATCATTGTCATAGTTAGTAATTTATACAATCACCAAATCTCATTACCAACTAGTTATCATGTCTCTGCAGAGAGATACACTGTTTTTCTATTTTCATTTTTTCTTTCAAACACTTTTTCAACACCATTCCTTCATTTCTAGGCAGACTGACTTGGAACTTGATAGGGTTATACCTTGGTCAAAAACACCCATACATCTTTTCTTTTTTTTATTTAGGAGTTTTATGGATTCTATGATGGTCAAAAGTCAAACAACCGAAAAATAAATATATATTGTGGGCTCCTGTGCAATCATATTTACAGCAATTAAGATAAAAATTGGCACAAATATAAATTTTCATTTGTCCAACAGAATGATATACAAAGAAGTTGAATCAGTCCATTTTGCATCTTTTTAGGGTGTCAGAGTTCACAAAAATAAAGAATAATTTTATGTTTTTTTTATTAATTACTCAGCCATATTTTGACCAATTTACATGGGATTTGGTACAAAGATACTTTTCTATAGGTCCCACACACTGACAAACAAAAATGGTGGACTTGTCCATTTTTAGTAATTATAGGGGGGGGTCAAGATGCCATAAAAACATAATTTTAGGTTTTCTTTACAATTATTTTGCAATATTTCGGCTAAATTACATGGGTTTGGTATAAAAATACTTTTTTACAGGTTCCATACATATACATACAAAGATGTCGGAAATGCCCATTTTAGGGGGGGGGGGTCAAAAGTTAAATAAACCCATAATTTTAAGGGCTTTGGTCAATCACTTAGTCACATTTCAACTAATTTAAGTGGGATTTAGTACAAAGATACTCTTTGCAGGTCCCAAACAGAGATATAGACAATTTTGAAATTTTTAGTTGTTTGCTCAATTTTTCAGTGAGGAAAGCACAATTTGGGGTTTCCATAAACTATTCATGTCTGTGTCAACCAAGTTACATGGGATTTGGTACAATGATACCTTCTTGCAGGTCCCAAGCAGAGATATAGACAGTTTTCAATTTTTCTGGTGTCAAAATTGGCCATGTTGGGATTGTGTGGCAGAGACATGTTGCATTCACCTGCAAAGGCTAGTCTGTTAATTATCATTATCAGCTAATAATTACCAAGTATTTTATGCTTTGTTTGCTTGTTTATCTACTGCAGCCCTCAAAGGAGCTCTGAGAAGGATTGTATGTGATGCCTGGAGCTAGGATTTGATACTTGACCTTCTTTACAAGGATTATATGTGGTGGTAGAAGCTGGGATTGTTTTTCTCAGTCTTCTTGGTAACAAGGTAAGTGTGCTGTCCATTCATAACCCCATTGGAACCTGAATCAACTAATAAATATTTTGATGGTTTAAAGATGGTATCCAGGTTTTGCCAACTTCTATACTAGCTTGACTGAGTACAAGTTAAGTGTATATAAAAGGCTTTTTCTTCTTTCTCTTCCTCATGTGTGGTTCCTATACTACTATTTTGGTATTGTTCCATTGCATTATATGATCTTCTTCTCTTAGAAAATGAGCTCCTGCAGAAAGTTCGGTATTATACAGTCGTGTGTGTGTGTGTGTATATATATATATATATATTGCTCCTAAACACTGGTTTTTATTGGCCTTTTTGTTTCTACAATGCTTTGGAGTCCACATTTGATAGGGATAATGAATCTTTAACAGTTTTGATGTATACTGTGTTATTGGATTGTGTTCTAAACACTGTTCTTTAAGCAGTAAAAACAATAAGACAAGGGGTCATAAATTCAAATTTTAGCAGCGTAGGAGTCGTCTGCAGTTTAGACAGTATTACTTTTCAAACAGGGTCGTGGCTTTTGGAATGAGCTGCCTTTAAGGGTGGTGGAGGCAGAAAATTTAACTGAGTTCAAGAAAAGATTGGATCAGTACATGAGTAGTAAGGGGTGGTTACAGTTGAGAGCTGGAAGGGACATCCTTGATGGGCTAATAAGCTCCTTTTTGTCCCTTTAAAATTTTATGAATTTATTATATCCTCTGTATGTTTTCAGACAGATCTTTACCATACTAGAATATAGCTGTATATTTGTAATTTTCTTCCTTTTTATTCTCAGTATTTATTTTTTGTATTTAATTGTTTACAGGGTGTTCAGTGTATCCACTGTTAGAGGTTGTAATGATGTTTTCCTCCTTATTAGCATTTTCTGAAACATATATTTTGTTAATTTTGCAGACTAGACAGTCTATGATGAATTCTTTACACTGTTGGAGTGGTTTGCTTAATAGCAAAGATATTTATCCATATCTTTGGGTTTAAACATTTGGTAAATTTCATGTCTAGTAACAGGAGTTTGTTGCATTTAGATTTTTTTTTGCAAAGCTACATAAGGGCTATATGCAGACTAGAGGAAAAGTACTTAGTCACCATTGCCAACTCTTAGGCTAGCTTGTGTGATTAGACAGTAACTGTTACAGCCCAAAGTGTGAGCGTGCTCCTGTAGCAACAGGACACAAATAATGAACCATCAGAATCACAGTCAGATCATGCTAACCACTAAGCCATGATCGACCCCAGAAGTTTATTTCTTTTTATATTTGTGAATTGTATCAATGGATATTGTCTGTTTAGGAAGTTCATAAATTCTGAAATCTTCTTGATAGAGTGACATCATTTTATGAATGTATTGTCAACATACCTGAGCCAAATTCTGGATCTTAGAGCAAATTCTCTTCAAATTTTTACATGTAGAGGATGAGCCTATGGCTAGGCCTTCTTGTTGCTAACAGTATATTTTTTACGTTTGAGGTAAACTGTGTTGATTTATTGCTTTTTGGACTGCCTACTTTATTTTGATTCTGAATTTATCTTTTTCTCCTTCTAGCAGACTTTGAGGATGGGTATACTATTGTATGATACCTACTCTCTTCCAGGGGTGGAACTTTCCTTTTCTGGTTCTTAAACTTGGAATTTAAAAATGGAAAGTAAAGTAAAATACAAAATGCCAATAATAACATACATTAACATATGTTGGCTCTTGTTTCTTTATGACAAGTATATCCATAATCAAGCTACATTATAACTACAGATTGACTTAACTTACAAATCTGTTCATTCGTCTCCTGTAAAAGTAATTTTTTTCCTTCCTTCATTTTGTCAAAACTCTGATGTTGCCATAATACGAAAACTACAAAAAAAAGAGAAAAGTTTAAATATACTTAGAAATATTGATATATAATTAATTCATACGTTCAATATTCTAAAGATAATTCTAACACAAATTATAAAGTGTTTTTATGCATAGGTTATGATTATACTTCATTTTGTCTATCGACTGAGCTGTTTGCATCCTTTTGACATATTTGAAGTTTGAATTCACACTTAATAAACAATCACTTGTTTCTTCCATTGAATCTTGTTAACACATCTAAAATATTAATCATTTAATCAAAATTTAACTATTGCTGTTTGACGTAACTACATAAAATTAATTCTGTTTCCCATTTCCAAACTTACTGTTCTTTGTGTATTACAGTATTAAAACATACAATTCAAAGTCCCTATATCTGCATTTTCATTTTGGCTATAATATAGTAATAAGCATAACTCACTTAGAAGTGTCTATATCTTATTTTAGCAGTATTACAGTAATGAAAAACCTGTACAGTATTACAGTACTAAAAATAACTCATTTAGAAGTGCCTACATCTATATTTCATTTTAGCTGTATTACAATAATAAACATAACTTGTTTAGAAGTGCCTATATCTATATTTTACTTTAGCTGTATTACAATAATAAACATAACTCATTTAAAAGTGCTTACATCTATATTTTACTTTAGTTGTATTACAGTAATAAACATAACTCATTTAGAAAAGTGCTTACATCTATATTTCATTTTAGCTATATTATGATAATAAATAAACTCGTTTAAAAGTGCTTACATCTATATTTTATTTAAGCTGTATTGCAATAATAAACATAACTTGTTTACAAGTGCTTACATCTATATTTCATTTTAGCTGTATTATGATAATAAATAAAACTTGTTTAAAAGTGCTTACATCTATATTTTACTTTAGCTGTATTACAATAATAAATATAACTTGTTTAGAAGTGCCTATATCCTAATAATATCTCACAAGTTGTGACCAGCTTAGGAAATTTATTAAGCTAGCAATGTGTAACAATCTCTATAATAAAAGTATAATAATAAGAAATAAGATTTAAAAAGTAATAAAATCAAATATATTGAACATTTTAACCAATACTGTTAATGACATTAACAATAACAGGCACACCTTACCTATGAAACACAAAAACGTTAGATATTGGCTTCAATTTCTGTTGCACAACATAATATCTCTACAACCAAGTATATGCTAAATTTTACACAATCCTCCCTCAAACCATCTAGTGACCAATGATAACCCATTAAACAGCTCCAACATTATAACTTAAGAGGAGCATATCATCTGAGACATGTATTAGGGTTTACACATGGAGTCAAGTAGCAGGTATTTTCAATAGTACAGTCAAAAAGTAATGTTTATGAGGATACAAAATAAGAAAAAAGATATTAAATGAATACCCTTAGTATACAATAAATGACTAGAATATTGGTTCTGTAATGAAATTACAACATACTATGATGTGTGCCTGACACAACTATTCCCACTTAACTAACCTCTGTCACTTAACAACATACACGATGAAGAAGATTTGGTTTGTTTTGTTTTGAATATCGCGCAAAGCTACACGAGGGCTATCTGCACTAGCTGTGCCTAATTTAGCAGTGTAAGACTAGAGGGAAGGCAGCTAGTCATCACCACCCATTGCCAACTCTTGGGCTACTCTTTTACCAATGAATAGTGCGACTGATCATAACATTATAACGTCCCCACAGCTGAAAGGGCGAGCATGTTTGGTGGAATGGGGATTCGAACCCACAACCCGCATATTGCGATTCGAGTGCCCTAACCACTTAGCCATGCCGGGCCTCATGAAGAAGGAAAAAGGAAGTAACCAAGAAAGATAAATATTCTGTAAACATGATAAGCCTTGAGAAAATTCAATATTAATAATTAGACTTAGAAAGAAAAGTTACACTAATTGTAAATATAGCAAAGAAAGTAAATAGCAAAAGCTAATGTAACATAACTAATGACATGAGGGTGCTATGAAAGATGAAAACATTGAAAAATTAAGTTCTTATAAATTTCTGAAAAATATTAAATATTAATATTATAATTTGTAGTAATTTGGGTTAAATAATAAAAGAGTAACTACATATAGTAAGATTGGTAAATAAAGACGGTCAAAGTTTTAACTTAAGAGTTTAGTGGTGTAAATTTTACTACAACATTAAAATAGGCTTAGTACTTGTAAGAGTACTTTAAGCTTAGGTATATTTCAATTTACTGGTATATTGTAAAACAGGTTAAATACATTATTTTATTAAATAATTACAATCTAATAAGCAGTTTACTTGAACTTAGATCCATTAGTATAATTTCAGCTTATAGTTATAGGTAGGTTATAAATCAGGCTAAAAACATTGTATTATTAACATTACGAATATATCAAAGACTAGTTATTGTCACTTCTAATAAAGTTCTATTTCTAAGTTCTATATAATTAAAGATAAACTTTATTACTTTCATGTGAAAACAAACTAGTGATTAAAAAAAACTAATATAATTGGTTCTTAAATGTTAGGCTTAACAGTAACAGTGTTGACAACAGACTACTGGTATTTGGTACTGAGTATTTATTTTTAGGCTATAAGTATAAATACAATGGTTAAAACTAGAATTCACAGTTTGTTAGGTGTAATGGGTATAATGAGTGGGTTTTATTTGGGAACTTCGGACTGGCAGTTACTTTTAAGGAAACTAGCAATGAAGATGTGTAATTTGTATGTAGAGTTTGTAGGTTAAAGAAAAAGTTGGAGGCTACCATAATTAAAGTACAGACAACAGATAAAGAGAAGTATAGACTGTGGGAAATGGCAAAAGAATTTTAAGAGGAGCTTATGCTTTTACATGCAAGGAATACATCAGCTAACAATGACTTTTAGGAAGTTAGAAAGTGTACTATTAGGCAAAAAGTAGTGAATTTAATTGTAATGAGCTTAAACTATTGTGCAACAAATTTCATCCCTTGGCTTCTGCAGATGAGAAGCTATTGAAGGGAAGGAAAACAAAGGTGTCAGAAACGGATCTGGATGATAACAAGGTTATAGTTATAGGTGATTCCTTGACAAGGTATGTGTATAAGATAGTCTGTGGGGTAAATAAGGAGAAAAGAATCAGATTATGCTACTGAGAGGCACAGGTGGAGGATATAACTGGCAGAGCAGTAAATATAATAAAGGGGGCTAGCACAGATGCAGTTTTTGTGGTGCATGTAGGGGAAAAGTAGGTCAAAGGAGGTAATTAATAAGTATAAGGGGTTGATAAAGGCATTTAAAGAAAAAAAGGCCAGAACCTAATTATGTCAGGATACTGCCCAGAATTAACTGTGGGGATTAAGTAGGTCACTAGAGATAAATAGTAGGCTTAGGTTAGTAGGTAAAGATGAGCAGATTGACTGGTTGGACTTGTGGGATAAGCTCAGTGGAAAAAGGGAGATTTATGGAAGTTATAATTTTCCTATACTGAAAATGTATTTCCGATAGGTACTTACCTCCTCTCACAAGATTATCTATTCTCGTTATTGCTGCACTCTTTACCCAAACTTTTTTATTACACATGCCACAAGCCTTCCGCATCCCCCAATTGTAATCAAATGATTCTACCGTGTCTCTCATGCAAATAATCATGTGTCATCTATCCACCAATAGGAGCATAGTACACTCACATGATGCATGTGACTCCCTCTATGTGCCTCTACTGAACTATTACTTCAAAGTTTGGCAGATGACAGAAGCATTGGAAGGGTGAAATGTGTAAGTGGAGGGAAGTACCTATTGGAAATACATTTTCAGTATAGGAAAATTATAACTAGATTATAACAAGATTAGCTAGAATCCCACATTGACTGGTATCCCCCCCCCCCCAAAGTGTCAGAAGGATAACTCTGTAGATGAGAGAGTCAGATCCGTAGATCTAGAGAGGGGAACCACACCACTTCTGATCCAAGTATATTCTTTGCCTAGTTCAGGAATGTGTAAAAATCAGAGCAGAAAATGAGATGAGCACATCCTCATGGGAGAAAAAGTGGTAAGAAAGCACTCCTAGCCAGAGAAAGGTATAGTAATCACACAATAAGAAAATGGGTAAATGAGGATGCATCCCATGGTGTAGAGTGGCTAGGGCATGGCAGAGTATACTCGGTAAGTCAACTACATCCAAAACCTCCTCGCAGGGTACTGATATCTGTGTGAAGGTAGGATGAGGATCATACCTTCTTTACTTCAAACCCAAGAAATGGGGAATTCAGAAGTACTCTGATGAGCTCTGAGCTATCGATCTGGGAATGTGACATCCAGTATCGAAAGGAAGTCTATCACATGCAATCACCTCCCGTAACCGTGAAACAGGTCGGGACCATCCAAAGGGCAATAGCATCCATGTAACAAGAGAGAACGAGGGAGAGACAAGGATAGAACTGGAATAGTCCCACATATCTCAACTGTGACCCAGAACACAGAAGGAGGAATCAAGGGAGAAAGATAGACAACCTGAAACCTGTGCAAGGACTTATGTTGATTGGTTTACTTGAAAATCCAAATCAGCCCACACTGTACCAACATCCCTGTGAGAGTAGGAAGAGGGCTCCCAATCAAAGGGGTGAACTGCATTTTGACATCTCACTCCATCATATGTTTAACTGCAAATCAGAGGATATTACATCATCTACACCAGTAGAACACCACCTCCCTACTCTGAACTGAATGGTTATATCCATCTTATGCCTCCATGGTTAACCACCCCAGCAGCTTGGAACTGATAAGTGGTAAGGACTCCCATACTCCACTGGAAGAAAGGAGGGTGAGAATGTGTTGGAGAGCCCGGAAGAATGTCAGCACCTGAAACAGTGCAATGGGTGATCACGAAACCCTATTTTAAAAAGCAGACCATACCAATTTATTCAATCAAGGCATGGCAGGGATGGGCAGCTATCCCCTTCTGCTTTTCCCATGAAGTCCATAGGTGGTACAGTCCAGGATGGGCCAATTTA